TGACTCTGGTTGTAACGCGTTGACTGGCGTTGACCTAGGACTACGCGTTGACCGGCGTTAACCCTTAGGGTTTTGAATCGTCAAACGTTGACTTTGGTTGCAACGCGTTGACTGGCGTTGACCTAGGACTACGCGTTGAACGGCGTTAACCCTTAGGGTTTTGAATCGTCAAACGTTGACTTTGGTTGCAACGCGTTGACTGGCGTTGACCTAGGGTTACGCGTTGACCGGCGTTGACCCTAGGGTTTCGAATCGTCAAACGTTGACTCTGATTGCAACGCGTTGACTGGCGTTGACCTAGGGCTACGCATTGACCGGCGTTGACCCTAGGGTTTCACGCATCGAATGTTAATTGGTGTCGATTTTCATCAAGACATCCAATAATTGATGAAAATAGGCGAATTCGGGTCCATATATAGGCATACGGGGACAAATGGGACCCGAGACACCCGTGGGTGTCTCACCCTTGGCCGAGACACCTTGGGGTGTCTCGGTTCTAGGGCCGAGACACCCTCCCCTCTTTGTCTTTTTCTCTTTTGTTTGTTTCCCCTTTTGTTTCCCCCTCTTTTCAAAATTCAAAAACAAGACTCCCTCTTAAAGTTTGAATCCCTTCTTCTTCCTCCATACACCATACACCATTGTTTTCAAAACTCAAAACCCATTCCACAATTTTGGATTTTTCTTGGTGCTCTTGATGATGGGTTGTGTAGGCACAAGAATTTGGGGGGTTTTATGCAAAGTTACAATAGGGCCGAAATTTTGGGGGGCTTTTATGCAAAGTTACAAATAGGGCCGAAATTTTGGGGGGCTTTTTTGCAAAGTTACAATATGGCCGAAAATTTGGGGGGATTTTGTGCAAAAGAGGACTGAAATTGGGTTTTGGATTGCATGCCCACTTGGTCGAAAATTTGAAGGGTGTTTTGTGCAAAAGAGGACTGAAATTGGGTTTTGGATTGCATGCCCACTTGGTCGAAAATTTGAAGGGTGCTTTATGCAAGAAAACCAATGTTGTTTGAGGGGTTTATTTGCAAAAAAGCAACCCACAAAGTGTAGAGGGGTTTATTTGCAAAAGGGCTGAAATTTAGGGCTGAAATTCCAAAAGTTTAGACCACAACCCAATAACCAAAGTTTTGATAAGGGTATGTGGACGTTAAATTGAAACTTGTGAAGGGGTCTATATGCAAAATTGGTTCAATTCTACAAAAGGGCTTATTTGTAAAATTAACCAAAATTGTGGGGTATCGGGAGGTACTATATGATCAGATATGATGACCATGACCCAACCCGAGCGTGTCCTTGACCCGAATTTTAGCCTTGAACACGAAGGGTATTTTGGGTATTTCACCAAAATTCACCGCGAAAAATGACAATCATTGTTTCGCATGCACGAAATTTGTAGGTTTAACTAGACTTCAATTATGAAATCCTATTTATGCATAGGATTTTAATTAAAGTTCTTAATTTCCCTTTTAAATTTCGTGTATGCATATTTTAGATTGTGCCTGACTTGCTGCTTTTCGTTGTAGATTTCAATGTCTCCATGCCGATCTCGACCTCGTAGGAGTCGTTCTCATTCGCAGCACAGCGAGGAAGAGGTTCCCGCGGCCTCCCCCGCGGCCTCTTTCTTCGGGGGTGAGAATTCATATATATATATATTTTTCTTGTATCCTCGATTGACCTCTTTGCGGATCATGAAGGAAGAACCGACACCCTCCTTCGCGGGGGTTAAGGTTTCAGACTTGTCTTCCTTAGCCAACTCAAGTCTTCTGGTATATTGGGGCGATTTTGTGTCTTCCTACACCTTATAGTTCGGTGTATTTTACCACGTTATTCACGTGATGATGCATACCGTTCTTCCAGTGTAGGACACTCAAAATCGTCTCTCCAATTATTCCGTGAATGAGCTTATCATTCTTCTTATGAATTTTCTGACTCCACCCTTGTGCTTTATTGCAGTGGAGTTTCCTGCGGGCAGTCTTCCTCCTCATGCTAATACCGGTTGTAGCCGGGAGGTCTTCTCTTCAGCTTCCCTTAGGCAGGCCGTTAGTCCACTTCCTCGGTTTGACCGAGATCGCTCAGACAAATCTTGTCATTTGATACGGGAAGGAGGGCGTCATTGCCTGCGCCAGCTTATTACAGATGCCTCCTTTACCGCGGATTCTACCTCCACGCAGGCTTTAAAGAAGCCGAGCTTCCTGTTTGGAGACCATGTCGAGGATCCTGCTACGTTGACCCTTGGCGAGGAGCACTGGCTGACTCTCGACGAGGGAGCTTGTTTGTACATTCCCTCTATTCCACGCTAATATTCTTTCAGTCACTTGAAGGGGCAGGCCGTGGAGCGACAGATGTCTTGGCACCTTACTGATGATGCTAAGCGAGTTCAGTGTGGATATGCCACTCACCACAAGACTCCTGGCTCTAACGGGTATCATGACGTTCGTGGTCTTCGACCCGGGATTATGGGCCTTAACACTGCACCCCCAGGCGAGGTATCAGCAGCTGCTCCTACCGTGAGTAATCGTCTGGCTCTTCTGGGGAGACGGTTACCTCCACCAGAATACAGATGCTATGGTTGGGCTTCCTCACTAGCCAAGGGATAGTGGGCACGCATGACCAGTTTCGTCTTGGCGCGCTGGGAGAGGGATTTGAAGAGCAGTGGATTGTATGCACCTATACGAGCCACCATGTACGGAATCCCAGTCAGCTGTCGCCATTTCTTGGCTTTGCTGGAGACCTACATGCCTGACAGCAACACCTTTCTGACCAGTGGTGGTGAGCTAGGGCTAGCCTTGCATGAGATGCATTATGTTTCGGGTCTTCCGATGGGGGATTGTCCGTATCAGGAGTATTTTCCCTCGAACCAGCAGTTGGAGTGTATGAAGAAAGATACTCCCGACATGTACGACACTCTCTGGGATCTTACCTGTCATTATCACACCTCCTTGGTCCAGACTTCTCCTCAAGCGAAGAGGAAGAGGCAGGTCAGCTTGAAGCAGTTTGCTTGCTACTTGTTCCAGAACTTGGAGGGTAGTTCCGGCAAACTTATTCGTGAATTAGACGTGTTGACCCCTTCCGCCGTTAATGAGTTGTTGGAGAAGGCTGAGGCTCGTTCTTACACCATTGCCAGTGCTGAGGGAGCTTTTCCTGCGGGAACCAAGTTTCATTCTTTTCTCTTTCATGCGCAGAAGTCCATTGGGTCCCGGACTCTACTAGCAGGCTACCTTGCTCTCTGGTTGAAGAAATGTGTTGTTCCGTACCAGCCTTCAGACGCTTTACCTATCGAGGTGCTCTTCCCTGCAGTTCAGCTAGCTTACGGGAGAGAGCTTTCCCTGCTCCCAGCGATGGTTGCTGGCATCCATTGCGGGCTTAGGTGTCTAGTCAGTAGTTTTACACAGGGGGGTTCTGAACCATCGACCGAGCTTATTTGTCCGAAGGTCGAGCTCCCTTACGCATATCTGATGGCGTGGCTCGTTCTTCACCGTCCTGATTTGATGTCGGCGCCCAGCGTTGTTGATGTCCCCGTTCCTTTTGTGCAGCTGTTGGAGAAGAGCAGATGGCTCGGGAACAAATTTAGTGATGTTCAACGAGAGCTTCGAGTCCGTAAGAGCTGGGAGTTCTTCAAGTGTTTTCCTTACTTTTCAGGTCGCTATGGCGACGTGCTGATTGACGAGGAGAAACCTAGAAGTGACCGGACTGTTCTCGACGTTGGTTGTTTCCGCTGGTTAGTGAACATCCGCGTTGGGTATCTTGTCCTCCGGGTGAAGAATCAATGCCACATAGAGCCTTACCTCCCTTGCCGCTTTGCTCGTCAGTTCGGCTATGACCAACTGTATGTCGGGAATCCAAGCCGTAGCCTGCAGGTTGAGGGAGGACTTATTGATGGTGTGCGAGCATGGCTGTGGACTATGGTGGGCTGCACTGGAGCCTATTTTGCTCTTCCTTCACATAGGCGTAAGCCGCTGACCACTTTCCTCAGTTGCAAGTGGTTCCTTTCCGCCTATGAGTCCATAGGTGTGAGAAGCCTTTCAGAGTTACAGTCCGAGTACTCGGTCCGGGCTGCTATGATGGCTGCTCGCAGGGCTGAGGTTGCTCAGAAGCGGAGAAAGGGGCATGCCAAATCTCTTCTCACAGATGATGAAGAGCTCCTTCCTACGGGTGACGACGACGAGACCTCCGAGGAAGAATACGTGGATGCAGATACCAACGGAGGAGAACTCGATGCCGGTTTGTTCTGCTTCTTTGATTTTCCCTTCTCCATTCTAATTGGTATAACCGACGGCTCTTGTTTGTTTAATGAAATGATCATTGTCACTTTAGGTAGGACAGTTGACGATCATGAGCCGCCCGCTCCTACACACGTTGAGACGTGTGACAGGCCTGTGCATGACCGACCTGTTGGTCCTAGGAGGGTTGGTGCCCCGAAGAGGAAGAAGACCGCGCATAAACCCCACGACGGTCAGCGTCCTTCTGGAGTGGACTTAGGAAGCACTGCCGATGGAGGGGAAGGTAACATTTTATTTTTATTGCTTTAAGGTGATTTACCTTTTGGGCTTCGTGACCATGTTTTATGCTCCAGGGTTCTTCGAAGAGGGCGAGCTCCCACCGGGTCCGGTATCTCCTGGATCTGATAACATGGATTGCTTTATGCAGCAGATGTGCGACGCCCTTCATGACGGGTCTCTGGGCATCGATCTAAACATTGATCTTGGGCAAGTGAATAGTGTTGAGTCCACCGTCCCGTATTCAGGTATATCTACATCCAATGATACCCTCCTCAATCATGGGGAAGGAAGATCTTCCGTTTTTGCTGCAAGTATTTTTGAGCTTTCCTCATCTTCCAACATTCAGGTTACCCTGCAGATGTCGCGATGGAAAGGCCAGCTGAGGATGGAGCCTATCATGATGTAGGTTTCGAGGGGAGGGGGAGTGCTCCTGTACCAAGCTTCTCTAAACCTGATGCCAGCTTATTAGCTGACATACTGGCCGAACAGACTACCAGAGGAACCGAGAGACCATTCTTTGGGAATGATTCATTCATAGGTATACCTCTGATTCCCTTCATCTTGTCTGATCTGTTGTCTGACTAATGAAGGATTAATATTGCAGCGCCAACCATTGGGATTAGCCCAATATCGATTCCTGGCATATCTAACTTGCCTCGGAGTGATGGACTTGCAGGTACGCGTACGATTTAGGGATATCGTACTTCTCTACGTTTATCTGATTTTTGACTAACATATGAGTGCAATCATAGGACCAGCCACTGGGACTGATTCTCTTATGACTCCTGGTATTCCCGCTGCATCTGAGGACGATGGGATTGCAGGTATGCATACGATCTTCTTGTCCCGACTCTCCTTATTTGTCCAAATTTCCATTTGACTAATACAGGAGTGTAACTATAGGACCGGCCGTTGGGCCTGATACTACTACAGTTTTCGGGGCCGAAAGTCTGCATAGAAGTGACGTCTCCCCGTCCTTGCCGAGTGATATGAGCAATCCGCCTGCAGGGGTTGATATACCCTCTTCTGTTGCTGTCTCAGAGCCTGTCGGACTTCAGCCTGAGGGGGCGTCCGTTGGCGTTGGTATGCTCAGAACTTGCCTTTTGAATTTCCTTATCGTATTCGATAATCCCCGCTGAACTTCTAATACGAGCGTGTCCGCGCCCTTTTGGTCGATACTGATCCTGACAGAGAGGCTTTTCGTACGGACCTCAGCTTCTTCACTGCCTTTTATAACGGCCTGATCGAGAAACTTCTTCATAGAGGATGCGGCTTTGATCAATTCAGGCGTTCCTTTTCTCGCCACATGATGATGATGAGGGAAGAAGGATACCCGGAGTTGGCCGATTCCTTCACTGCCGATTTCGCTGCCCTGGAGTCAGAGATACGAGAGTTGAAGGAGTTGGAGGTTAACGGGGCTTCTTCTTTTGTGTCCTCTCAGTTGGAGCACAGGATGGCACAGTGGTGTGACCTGAGATCTTCCATCGGGTGCGAGCTTTAGTCACACGAGAGCTCCATTGCGCAGCTAATGGCTAATGTGGTGAGGAAAGATACGGAGAGAGCTGAGCTACTCCGCTCTTTGGACTCGAACCGTGAGGAAACGACTAGGTTGAAAGAGGCCTTGAAGTGCGTTGAGGAATCTACTGCTCTTATTGTAGATGACCTGGCTGGACTAGAGCGTTCTCGTGAACAGGCACTCGAGGAGCTCGGATCCACCCAGGAGAGACTGATGAAGCTGAAGAGTGAAGCCGCGGAGATTTTAAGCAGTTCTGAGGAATCTGCCCGAGCTGATCTGCAGGCGGGACTTGAGCGGAGTTATGTAGATAGGCTTTTTAACTTAAAGTCTCATATTCTCAGCCGCCAGCTGCCTTCGGGCTAACGAGCTTCTTGTTGTATGCTTTTGACTTGGTCTATTAATAGTAACTTCGCATTTACTTCTTTCTTGTGATCTTTTCCGTATTTATTCTGAATGACAGATTTATGGGATTTTTGGCAAACCCCCAGCCCTCAACGGGTTTGATATGTCTTTACCGATTACCGTTTGAAATCGGACTAGCATGTGAATTATTAAACCCGTCTCACATGTAACGTTGTGCTAAGAGAGTAAATTCTCTGAGGCTTTGTGCTATGATTTTGAATACATAGGCTTCGTCTTTCTCACGGGAATAGACTACCCGGCAACGCGTGTTAGGCGTTGACTTATCCGATTGGAAGTTGAGAATCGTGTCTTTTCTAAAAGCAAAGACAGACTGAGAAACAGGAGAGGAAGAATTTTATATTCTATCTCCCGGTGCTGAAGAGGAAGAATTTTATATTCTATCTTCGGCTGGAAAGGAAACGGGAGAGGAAGACCGGTGCTGAAGAGAAAGAATTTTATATTCTATCTTCAGCTGGAAAGGAAACGGGAGAGGAAGAATTTTATATTCTATCTCCCGGTGCTGAAGAGGAAGAATTTTATATTCTATCTTCAGCTGGAAAGGAAACTCGAGGTGGGATCTCCACCCCCAGAATCCGGAAGGATGAAACTAAGAGTGGGATCTCCACTCCGAGAATCGGAAAAGTTCGAACGACACTACCTTTTATAGGATTGGTCATTTGAACCCAAAGAACCCCTCATTCATTGAGGAGAAAACCCAATTTCAACCCTAACTTTTATAGGTTTGGTGGAAAAGGGGACAAAGGTGGATTTTTTTTCGTTTATCGAAAATGAATGACTCGACCTTAGTCTTGACTATCTGTAGGCTTGACTAAGCGAGATCAGGAACAATCCTAACTTTTATAGGTTTGACTGCTCCAAGTGGACCTCTCGTTCATGGAATGAATCGAGAGAGGAATTTGGCTTTGGCCCTAACTTTTATAGGTTTGACCAGAAAGCAAAGAAAGTGGAATACGGGTAGCAAAGAAAGTGCCAACTCGTATTATCACTCAAAGGGAGACTTTAATGCTAGGTGATTCTGACCTAACACGTTGAGTCTGAGAAATGCCAATGACTGGCAGATGGAAATGTTGGTGGATCCACTGTCGTTTAATTTGATCAGCGGATGGTTTGGTGAGGAAAGATTAACCTATCAGAGGATTAGATCTCATCTCACAAAAATAACTCATAAGAGTTAGAGAATTTTTTGATAAAAATAAGAAGAGACATTCTGACCTTCAGAGTTCGAATGTAGATTTCTTATTCATCAATTCTACAATGACTGGGTTATCCCTAAGAATACCCATGTGGTATTCTTCCGGGAACTTCCCGGTGCATTGGTTATCCTGAAGATACTAAGGATAGTATTTTTTTAGGAACTTGCCGTTTATCGGCATTATAAGCCGGTCACCGTCCTTGGTGAAAAGGCGATATGCGCCACTCGAGTAGACTGTCTCCACTACGAATGGTCCTTCCCATTTGGGTTCAAATTTACCCTTCTTCTTGGAGTTAAGGATCATAGGCCGCCTTTCAGCTAGCACCAAATCTCCTTCTTTGAAACTCCTTTGTCGAACCTTTTTGTCGAAGGCTCGAGAAATTCCAGCTTGGTAAAACTCAATATGCTGTTGAGCTTCCAGGCGCTCTTCATCGAGCCTCTCGAGTTCTTCGAGGTGCTTCTGGTGTTGTACTTCGGTCGTCATCTGGGTTGAAAGAGCGATCCGAAGAGATGGGATTTGAATCTACAATGGAAGAACAGCTTCACATCCGTATACCAGCGAATACGGGGTTACTCCCGTTGGTGTGCGCACCGTGGTCCGATAGGCCCATAGAGCCGCGCCAAGCTTGTCATCCCAGTCTCGTTTATTCGTTTTCACGATTTTTGACAAGAGTTTGATGATAGTCTTGTTGAAGGCTTCAGCTAATCCATTTGCTGTGGGATTATAAGCCGTTGACGAGATATCCTAAATTTTAAACTTTTCGCAGAACCTTATGAAGGCGTTGCTGACAAACTGAGGACCGTTGTCATGTATGATTCTTCTTGGAATGCCATACCTATAGATGATATGGTGCTTGATGAATGCAATGACGTTGCTCGTTTTAACTTCTCTGAGTGGAACTGCTTCAGCCCATTTGGAGAAGTAATTGGTAATTGCCAAGATGAACCGGTCGCCTTTGACTGATGGGGGATTTATCGGGCCAACAATGTCCATTCCCCACGTCTCGAACGGCAGATGCTCCGGAGGTTGGTGCAAATAATTCCCGTGTATTTGACATGCATTACACTTTCGGGCATATGCAATTGCATCATTCATCATGGAAGGCCAAAAATACCCCATTCTTCTGATGCGATCGTAGAGCTTGGGACCAGGTTGGTGTGCGCCACACTCCCCTTCATGCACCTCCCTAAGGACCTCTTCAGCTTATTTGGTTGATAGGCAACGCAATAGCAACCCATCGTACCCCCTGCGGTATAGCGTTCGATTCTCCGTATTATAGTAGAATCTAGGTGCTCTTCGCCGGATCGACTCTCTTTCCTTCACATCTTCTGGCAAGATTCCATGCAAGACGTAGTCGATGATGGGGAAACGCCAATCTCGTGGTTCGAACTCGATTTGAGTAGCGTGCGCCTCTTGAACCTCTTCTTCCTTGGCATCTTCATTGTAAAACGGTATTAGAAGTTGGTGAGTTCTTACCGTAACAAACTGCTCTTTTTCGGGAGGCTGCGCCAGTGACATGGCCAATACTGCCAACGCATCTGCATAAGTATTCTGTAGTCGGGGAATATGTTCGATAAAGAATCCTTCAAATGATTCCGCTATCTCCACCGCCATCTTATGGTATGGAATTAAATCTTGACTTCGGACTTCATATTCTCCTTGGACTTGCTTGACTATTAGCTGAGAATCACCGAAAGCCTCGAGATACTCAACCCCCAGCTCCTTAGCGAAGTTGAGTCCTATAATCAATGCGTTATACTCTGCTACATTATTCGAGCATGGCTCGGTTAGCGAGTAGGCTCGTGGCATCACATGTTTTCCTGGGGAAACTAAGACAACTCCCACTCCGGAAGAAATATTAGATCTTCCAGGAGCACTTGTGACAATAGCTGCTCTGGAAGCGCCATCGAAGTATAAACGCCATACTTGTTGGTGTGAAGTCGCGTTGACTTCATGGGTTTCATCCGGTAAGCCGTCATATATCTCGGCGGTGTCCGTAGTTGGATTGTCTGCCAGGAGATCATAGATGGCCTGTCCTTTTACTGACTTCTGTTGTTTAAAATGCAAGTCGTATTGGGACAAGAGTAAGGCCCATTTTGCTAATCGCCAGCTCATGGAAGCTGGTTGAGTCATGAATACTCGAACCGGATTAACTTTAGAGATGACATAAATGGTCTGTCCAACCAGATAATGCCGCATCTTCTGAATAGCGAACACCAAGGCGAGGCATTCTCTCTCAATCATAGGGTATCGAGATTCAACGCCTACCATGGTTCGGCTCAAATAATATACTGCCTGCTCATGACCGTCATCGTCATCTTGTGCAAGTAATGCACTTAATGAATGGCTCGTCGCCTTGACATAAATCAAGAACGGTTTGCCCGATTTCGGTGCAACGAGTACAGGAGGTTTTGAGAGATATTCTTTAATACTCTCGAATGCCTTTTGACAAGCTTCATCCCATACAAAAGATACGCCCTTCTTTGCGAGCTTGGAGAACGGTTGACATTTTCCTGAGAGGTTCGAGATGAACCGACGGATGTAAGCCAATCGTCCTTGCAATCCTCTGAGTTCCTTGAGGTTCCTCGGAGGCTGCAATTCATTTATCGCCTTTACCTTATCGGGGTCGATGTGAATACCTTTGGTAGTGACGACAAATC